AATACTATGTTGAATAGCAGTGGTGAGAGTGGACATCCCTGCCGCGTTCCTGACCTTAGGGGAAAGGCTCTCAGCCTTTCCCCATTGAGAATGATACTCGCTGTAGGTTTTTCATAGATGGCTTTTATGATATTGAGGTATGTACCCTCTATCCCTATACTCTGAAGAGTTTTGATCAAGAAAGGATGTTGTACTTTGTCAAATGCTTTTTCTGCATCTATTGAGAGGATCATATGATTCTTGTTCTTTCTTTTGTTAATGTATTGTATCACGTTGATTGATTTGCGGATGTTGAACCAGCCTTGCAGCCCAGGAATAAATCCCACTTGGTCATGGTGAATAATCCTTTTAATGTACTGTTGGATCCTATTGGCTAGTATTTTGGTGAGAATTTTTGCATCCATGTTCATCAAGGATATTGGTCTGTAATTCTCTTTTTTGATGGGGTCTTTGTCTGGTTTTGGGATCAAGGTAATGCTGGCCTCATAAAATGAGTTTGGAAGTTTCCCTTCCATTTCTATTTTTTGGAACAGTTTCAGGAGAATAGGTATTAATTCTTCTTGAAATGTCTGATAGAATTCCCCTGGGAAGCCATCTGGCCCTGGGCTTTTGTTTCTTGGGAGATTTTTGATGACTGCTTCAATTTCCTTAGTGGTTATAGGTCTGTTCAGGTTTTCTATTTCTTCCTGGTTCAATTTTGGTAGTTGATACATCTCTAGGAATGCACCCATTTCTTCCAGGTTATCTAATTTGCTGGCATAGAGTTGCTCATAATATGTTCTTATAATTGTTTGTATTTCTTTGGTGTTGGTTGTGATCTCTCCTCTTTCATTCATGATTTTGTTGATTTGGGTCATTTCTCTTTTCTTTTTGATCAGTCTGGCCAGGTGTTTATCAATCTTGTTAATTCTTTCAAAGAACCAGCTCCTAGTTTCATTGATCTGTTCTACTGTTCTTTTGGTTTCTAGTTCATTGATTTCTGCTCTGATCTTTAAGATTTCTCTTCTCCTGCTGGGTTTAGGCTTTATTTGCTGTTCTTTCTCCAGCTCCTTTAGGTGTAGGGTTAGGTTGTGTATTTGAGACCTTTCTTGTTTCTTGAGAAAGGCTTGTATTGCTATATACTTTCCTCTCAGGACTGCCTTTGCTGTATCCCAAAGATTTTGAACAGTTGTGTTTTCATTTTCATTGGTTTCCATGAATTTTTTTAATTCTTCTTTAATTTCTTGGTTGACCCATTCATTCTTTAGTAGGATGCTCTTTAGCCTCCATGTATTTGAGTTCTTTCCGACTTTCCTCTTGTGGTTGAGTTCTAGTTTCAAAGCATTGTGGTCTGAAAATATGCAGGGAATGATCCCAATCTTTTGGTACCGGTTGAGACCTGATTTGTGACCTAGAATGTGATCAATTCTGGAGAATGTTCCATGGGTACTAGAGAAGAATGTGTATTCCGGTGCTTTGGGATGGAATGTTCTGAATATGTCTGTGAAGTCCATTTGGTCCAGTGTGTCATTTAAAGTCTTTATTTCCTTGTTGATCTTTTGCTTAGATGATCTGTCCATTTCAGTCAGGGGGCTGTTAAAGTCCCCCACTATTATTGTATTGTTGTCAATGTGTTTCTTTGCTTTTGTTATTAATTACCTTATATAATTGGCTGCTCCCATGTTCAGGGCATAGATATTTACAATTGTTAGATCTTCTTGTTGGATAGACCCTTTAAGTAGGATATAGTGTCCTTCCTCATCTCTTATTACAGTCTTTGTTTTAAAATCTAGTTTGTCTGATATAAGGATTGCCACCCCAGCTTTCTTTTGGTGTCCATTAGCATGGTAAATGGTTTTCCACCCCCTCACTTTCAATCTGGGGGTGTCTTTGCGTCTAAAATGAGTCTCTTGCAGACAGCATATTGATGGGTCTTGTTTTTTAATCCAATCTGATAGCCTGTGTCTTTTGATTGGGGAATTGAGCCCATTTACATTCAGGGTAACTATTGAAAGGTATGAATTTAGTGCCATTGTATTACCTGTAAGGTGACTGTTAACTGTCTGTTGTCTGTGTTCGTTTCTGCTCTTTGCTGCTTTTAGGTTCTCTCTTTGCTTAGAGGACCCCTCTCAATATTTCTTGGAGGGCTGGTTTCGTGTTTGCAAATTCCTTTAGTTTTTGTTTGTTCTGGAAGCTTTTTATCTCTCCTTCTATTTTCAATGATAGCCTAGCTGGATATAGTATTCTTGGCTGCATATTTTTCTCGTTTAGTGCTCTGAAGATACCTTGCCAGTCCTTTCTGGCCTGCCAGGTCTCTGTGGATAGGTCTGTTGCCAATCTAATGTTTCTACCATTGTAGGTTACATATCTCTTCTCCCGAGCTGCCTTCAGGATTTTCTCTTTGTCTCTGAGACTCGTAAGTTTTACTATTAGATGTCGGGGTGTTGACCTATTATTATTGATTTTGAGAGGGGTTCTCTGTGCCTCCTGGATTTTAATGCCTGTTTCCTTCCTCACATTAGGGAAGTTCTCTGCTATAATTTGCTCCAATATACCTTCTGCCCCTCTCTCTCTCTCTTCTTCTTCTGGGATCCCAATTATTCTAATGTTGTTTCGTCTTATGGTATCACTTATCTCTCAAATTCTGCCCTCGTGATTCTGTAATTGTTTCTCTCTCTTTTTCTCAGCCTCTTTATTTTCCATCATTTGGTCTTCTATATCACTGATTCTCTCTTCTGCCTCATTTATCCTAGCAGTTAGTGCCCCCATTTTGGATTGCACCTCATCAATAGCCTTTTTGATTTCGATTTGGTTAGATTTTAGTTCTTTTATTTCTCCAGAAAGGGTTTCTCTAATAACTTCCACGCTTTTTTCAAGCCCAGCTAGTATCTTTAAAGTCATGATTCTGAACTCTAGGTCCGACATCGTACTAATGTCCGTATTGAGTAGGTCCCTGGCTGACGGTACTACCTCTTGTTCTTTTTGCTGAGGTGATTTCTTTCGTCTTGTCATTTTGTCCAGAGGAGACTTCCAGTAAGTGGTCGCTTCTCTGTTCAGAGAGTTGTTGCTACTCTCCTGTTCGATCTCCTGTTGAGTTCGTAGGTGTTCAGAATGGTTTGATCCCTATGAGACCAGACGAAATCTAGGTCTCCTGCTCCTCCGCCATCTTGCTCCGCCCCCCTGTGCTGCTCCCTTTGACCGTGAGCCATCTGTTTCTCGTCATCCCTAACCTGTGGAGCGTTGACCAGTCACCTTCTGTGAAATCAGCTTGCCCGTGGCCACTGCCCTCCCCTCACACTGGTGCCCCCCGCACCTCCTGGGCTCTGACCTTCCACACCAGGCTGCGTGGTCACCCTCCGGGCGCTCGATGTCCCATTCTAGCCACTCTGGCTGCCCCAGCCCGGGTGCAGGTGCTGTCCCATCCTGCCCTCGGGCTGAGGGATTGGGGTTGGGGATGGGAGCAGAGAGGGAAGGCTTAGGGGTAATGTGAGACTCTTGCCCCCTACCCTGCGTTATTACAGAAACACACGGTAATTTTGCTTTTGTAAAAGAAAAGGCAAAATATTAGGAAGGAAGAATACCCTTGATACCCGTAATGAAGCTGCTTGTAATTTCATGCCATTGTATAATGCCACAGTCAACACCCTGATCCCCTGAAGTCCGAGTTTTGTACGGTTGGTTGTGCCTGTAGCGTGTGCCGCATCAGCCCCGGCTACAGCGCACACCCTGGCCGGAGGGTGGATCCCGACAGGGACACTGCAGCGCACAGAAGGCAGGGGGACAGTCTTGGCGCACGCGCACCACACCCTGTTCGGTCGCGTACGGTCTGTTCGTGTCTGTATCTGCTGCTGCTTCCAGCACGGGCACTTTCTCACATCCTTCAGAACCACTAGAGGATGTGATGTTTGGCCAGGCAGCTTGTTACGTTCCTTCAGTCTAGTCTTCCCCAGTCAGCACGGGGGCTGTGCGTCCCCGCGGAAGGCCGGTCCCTAAAGCTTGCTGACTCTGGTCTCAGGTGTGATCTGCAGTGGGAACCGAGGCTGTAGCCTCCAAAGGGGGGTTGGTTCGCATTCCTTCCTCTCGGGGGCGTCTCTCCCCGGCTGGGATTTGTCAGGGGTCCCCTTTGTTTTTGCTTCATCTTTTTTTGTTTTATCAAAATGGTGTCATTTTCACTTCTTTGATTATTAGTGGGAGTGAATGTTTTTTGTGCCCTTTGACCTTTTGTATTTCACAGAAGTTGTTTGGGATAAATGTATTTCTGTTCTGCAGGAAACTCCGGGACCTTCTACAGCAGAGGCTAATAAAATTCTTCATTGACCAGAGTAAAAAAGACGCCAAAAAATACACCAAGTTTTTTGAAGATTATGGCTTGTTCATGAGGGAGGGCATTGTGACCACTGCCGAGCAGGAAGTCAAGGTAGGGTCTGGGTTTCTGGGCCTTTCTCTGGGTTGCCATGGCTGTGGAGGCCCGAAACCTGAGCTTCTCGGGACATGAGTGTGGCCCAGCCTGGCGCCGCGCAGGGGTCAGTAAAGGCAGTGTTTGGCTTCTGGGCCTCTGTCGGGGGACACAACAGGCCTGGTGCCACTTCCCAGAGCCTCCTTACCGTGTCCCATAGCACTGAGCTCTTCCTGGCCTGATGCTGGAAGGAAGTGGGTGTGCATGGTCTCCCACAAGAGTTCAGTGTGCTCAGGAGATCACAAAATGCAGGGGACAGGGCAAGGTGCCTGGTTCTTGGGGTGGGAAGGGCAGTCACGGCATTTGCACAGTGTGATTGGTGGAAATTCTTTAATGCGGTGTCTCTGGGGCCAGAGTTCAATTTAATTACTTAATGATACGATCATCCCATAAACATTTTTTGGCCAATTTTAAATTGCCATATAATTCACATACCATAAAATTCACCCTTGTATTATTTTTTTGACGATTTTATTTGAGAGCAGGGACAGAGGCAGAGGGAGAAGCAGACTCCCCACTGAGCAGGGAGCCCGACGTGGGGCTCAATCCCAGGACCCCAGGATCATGACCTGAGCTGAAGGCAGACATTTGATTGAGCCACCCATGCTCCCCAAAATTCACCCTTTTAAAAAGTAAACAGTTCAGTGGCCCTTCATGCATTCACAAGTTGTGCAACCATGACCATCCAGTTCCAGAACATTCTCTTCCTCTCAAAAAGACACCCATGCCCATTAAGCAGGCCCTCCCAGGGCTGGGATTTCATCTGCTGCACCAGAACAGCAGTGAGGAAGGAAGTGACCAAGCATCTGGGGTTCGCCAGGGGGTGTTTCAGGCCATGGGGCTTGGGCCTCAGGCCCTCCTTGCTGCTGGCTGGTGGCAGACTCCTCCAGTTCCTGGTGTGGGCCTGTCTGAATTTCCATGTGCTGTCAGTTATGTGTTTATGGTTAACAGCACCTAGGTGGCATTTTCATTTCCATCGTGCCATTTTGTCGGACATCGCCTCTGAACAGGCTCCAGTCTTCCCTGTGTTCCCCTCTCCCTGCACGTCTGTGTTGGATAATCCAGGAGAAGTCAATGGTATAGACTAGGCAGAGTTTAGTTCTCGAGTCACATCTGGGCTGGTGGCATCAGGGACCCAGGCCCCAGCTTGTTGTCAGGTAGCTCCCACGTTGAGAGGCTAGGGCAGCAGCAGGCGCGTTGACTTCAGCTGACAGGAAGGAAGAGGTCGGACCCCCCCCCCCCTTCAGGACATGCCCGCTGTCGTTTGTACCCCACCACGGGCTAGTTCATTCTGTGGGGAAGTCTGGGAATGTGGCCTCCACACCGAGTCCACGTGCCCAAGAGGCAGGGTCAGTGACTAGAATGGAGGGAGGATGCTGGGTCCAGGAAAGTCTCTGCCACGGACAGTGTCTGGCCACTCCTGGGACAGGACCAGAAAGCCCTTCTCCACAGGGCCCTGGACCACCTGGGTGAAGGTTCTCTCCAGGGTCCCCTGAACTTTTTGTTTTTTAAGATTGTATTTATTTGACAGAGAGAGATACAGCGAGAGAGGGAACACAAGCAGGGGGAATTGGGAGAGGGAGAAGCAGGCTTCCCGTGGAGCAGGGAGCCCGATGCGGGGCTTGATCCCAGAACCCTGGGATCATGACCTGAGCCGAAGGCAGGCGCCCCTCCCCTGAACTTTTGATGTGGGACCTAATGGATACCACCAGAGTCCCCAAACCCCCCCCCCTACCCCGGGGCTGAGCACTATCCCTGGGCCTGGCAGCCCGGGTTGAGGCCGGCCAGAACCCTTCCTCCCCATAGCCATAGGCTTCCGAGGTCTGTGCCAGGCAGGTGGGAGGCTTTCAGAACAGGACCTGGAATGAGAGCAAGCTGGCCTTTGTCCGCAGGAGGATATCGCAAAGCTGCTGCGGTACGAGTCCTCGGCCTTGCCCGCTGGGCAGCTGACCAGCCTCCCGGACTATGCGAGCCGCATGCAGGCCGGCACCCGCACCATCTACTACCTGTGTGCCCCCAGCCGGCACCTGGCCGAGCATTCACCCTACTACGAAGCCATGAAGCAGAAAAACATGGAGGTGGGTGAGCCACGGGCTGGGGCCAGGACAGGGTAACCGGTGTCTGAGCCCCTGAAGGAGGGTCTCTGCTTAGTGGACAGTGGCTGAATGGGCCCAGGACACAGGAGAGCCAAGCAGTGCGAGGTAGCATCCAGAGGCCCAGCCCAGCTGCCGTTAGTCTGTCTCTGGGAAGGGACGTGGGGTTCTGTAGAGTCACTGTTGCTGCTGGTGCGTCATAGCCCAGGGCCTGCTCAGGACTGTGCTGAGGCCCTAGGGTCTCTGGTGTGGCATTTCCAGACGTGGGACCCCGCCTGCCTCTCACGCGCCCCTCTCTTCCTGTCACGGGCAGACATCTCAAGGCCCGATGCTGACGTTCTCCGGCTCTCGCAGGTTCTCTTCTGCTACGAGCAGTTTGATGAGCTGACCTTGCTCCACCTTCGTGAGTTTGACAAGAAGAAACTGATCTCTGTGGAGACGGACATCGTTGTTGACCACTATAAGGAGGAGAAGTTGGAGGATGGGTCCCCAGGTCAGCTTGCCTTCTGTCTGGGCCCAGGCCTGGGCAGTGGCCTGGGGGTGTGGGGAGGCAGGCCCCGGGGGGCTATTTATATGGGGTTTTCTTTGCTTGTTTGTATCTGGGGTCCCCACCCTGCATAAAAGAAGCTGCTGGGAACATCTTTGTTTAGATCCTGGGACCTCTCCTATGCTCCTTCCAGCTTGGCTTCCTGAGAGAATTAGAAATCGTCTTCTTAAAACCCCTACAAAATTAATATGGGCCTGGGGCGCCTGGGTGGCTCAGTTGGTTAAGTGATTGCCTTCGGCTCAGGTCGTGATCCTGGAGTCCCGGGATCGAGTCCCACATCGGGCTCCCTGCTCGGCGGGGAGTCTGCTTCTCCCTCTGACCCTCTTCCCTCTCGTGCTCCCTCTTGTTCTCTCTCAAATAAATAAGTAAAATCTTCAAAAAAAATTAACATGGGCCTCAGGCAACAAAAGTGTCCTTTTTTAAAAGTAGGCTCCACATCCACTGTGGGGCTTGAATTTGTGACCCTGAGAGCAAGAGTCACATGCTCTACCAGCGCAGCCAGCCGGGCACCCCTAAAATGTCCTTTTTGAGGTCCAGTTTTACCTGCTTGCTTTTAGGTGAAGAGCCTTCTGGGAAGCTTCTTTGTGCTGGCGGCCAGTGGGGGGTGGAGGGAGCCTTCTTTAAAACCCGCTCTTGGGGCTTTAGCGTTTCAGGCCCCGGCGGGATCCCCTGGGGGGGAGTCACCGGTAACAGCTCAGAGCTCACTGCCTTCTCTCCTGTAGCTGGTGACCGCCTGTCGGAGAAGGAGACGGAGGACCTGATGGCTTGGATGAGAAATGTGCTGGGGTCCCGTGTCACCACTGTGAAGGTGAGGCCTTCCAGAGGGACGTGCCACTTCCCAGCTGCCATGGCCCTCTGTGACCCCACTGCTGCGGGCTGAGTGGCTGGCTTCGTGTGCGTCTCCCGGTGCCGCTCGAGGCCCTGACCTGGGGTGGAGACGGGCATGTTGCTGCCGCTCCTACGCGTGTGCACACAGCACCGGGGGCGTGAACGCTTGCGGGGAGATGGTGCGCCCGGACGACCTAAGGCCCCTGGGAGCCGTGGGCAGGGCTGGAGGGGTGGTGAGAGCGTTGTCTGTGGGAAGGAGGCTTGGGCCATCGGGATGGGTGGGCCTCCAGAGTCCTAGACAGTCGTAGGACTCGGCGGTGGTCCCTGTGCAGCCGAGAGGCGTGAGTAACCAGGCAGGATGGCCCTGGGACAGCCACTGATTCATGAGAAGCCGGTAGCTGTGAGGGACACGGGAGGAGGGAGTCCCCAGTCAGGATTCTGTCCCGGGGACTTGTGTGGCAGTGGCTCGAGCTCCCTTCTCAGTAGTGCATCAGGCGGGGGGGAGGAGGGGTTGTCCCCAGAGATCTGCATTCTTTCGTGTCATCTGGGGAAGCTTCCGACCTGGTCAAGACCCTGCAGCCCAGCCCTCCCTGCCTCCCCCCCTCTGGCTCCTCCCTCACCCGGTCCCTGACCTTGCTTGTAGGTGACTCTTCGACTGGACACCCACCCTGCCATGATCACCGTGCTGGAGATGGGGGCTGCCCGGCACTTCCTGCGCATGCAGCAGCTGGCCAAGACCCAGGAGGAGCGCGCTCAGCTCCTGCAGCCCACGCTGGAGATCAACCCCAGGTAGGCTCCCGGCCCCTCGGGCCCAGGGCACGGGCCCGCACGATCCCCCCCCGCCCAGTAATCCACAGTGGTGTGTGAGCTGCTTGTGTGTCTGACAGCTACAAAGGGCAAAAGGCTTACATGCAGTTTGGTGACCATAAAGACACCACCTGTGTGATCCAACTGCATTTCAGTTTACACGTCCCCCCAACCCCCTGCGGGAGGTTCTCGAACACTGCAAGTGGCCCAGTGGGGGCCTGTCCCTCCTCAGTGGCCAGACAGCCCTCACTGTAGAGACAGAGTTCCTGCCTGAGCTCTAGTCCGCCATCCGCCGTGTGTCCTGGAGACAGATCTGAGTGGCCTGTCAGTGGAGTCCCCGGGCACGTGCTTCGGAAGTGCTTCCTTCACTCAGCGACAGGCGGTGCCCGGGGAGGGAGGCTGGGGGTGCGGTCGTGTTCGGGGCGGAGTGACAGGCCGGAGTGTGCCTCAGTGCCGCGATTTAGTCTTTCTTAGTGAACTTGTGAGTTGTTCTCATTTGGGGGCTGCCGGGAATGGGTTGCTCTGAACACTCCTGTCTCGTCTGGCCCCCGCGCGTCTCCCTGAGGCTCACCTGCCCAGGTGCCCTCCGCGGGGCAAGGAGACGCCGCTGTTCGCACACTGTGGCCCCGGGCCCTGTGCGCGAGGACGCGCCCAAGACTAGCCTTTTTCCTGTTCTGTTTCATAGTTTATGTACGCTTTCTCGGTTGCCACTGTCGTCTTCCAGTGTCGTTTCATCTGTCTAAAGATGTGTTCTGAGAAGTTCTTAATTTTAACGAAATCATAACTTTTAAAATACTCATACTTTGGTTGAAGTCTAGTGGACATACGGTGTTAGTTTAAGGCGTACAACATAGTGATGTTGATGTTTATGGATGTGACAACGGGCTCACCGCGAGAAGTCCCTTACCCCATCACTGTGCTGCTACCGATGGTTCTGTGCTGTACTTCTCTTCCTGTGACTTGACTTTACAACTGAAGTTTGAGCCCCTCAACCCCTTCGCCCACTGCCCCTGTCCCCCCACCATGCTGGAAGTCTGTGTTCGTTGCTGTTCTAGGTTTTGGAGAAATCTTTATCAGAGTCTTGAATGTACTGTCTAAAAGCTTTAAGGTTTTAGTCCATCTCTCATTGGTTCGGGATGTGGGAGAGTTGTCGTCTCTCACTCCACATGAACACCTGCTTGCCCTGTGCCGTGACTGCTCACAGCTGCCCTCTCCCTGCTTATTGGCTTCACGTCTCTGTCCAGCATCACGTGGCCGCAGTGCACGGTGTTCCCCACACATCTGTATTCAGTCAGTCCCCCCTTATTTCCCTTCAAGGGTATCTTCCCTCCTGTAGGTCTGTGCTTGGACGAGGTGGCCTGACAGGTGTCCCCCTCCCCCTCCACCCCCACACACAGTTGGGCTTGTGGTTGAGGTTATACTGGCTCCCAAGTCAATTTCGAATGAACTGGCATCTTTGTGTCCAATCTTTCATCCATGAACATGCCAGATTTCTCTATTTAGGTCTTATTTAGTATTTTTTGGTAACTGTAGAGAGATTGCACATTGTTTATGATGTACCTTATTTATTGGATATTTAGAAATGCCATTTTCTAACTTGCAATTGTATATGAAGATTTTTTGGAGCGATTTTGTATACAGTAGTAATTTTATAAGATTTATTTTACAGAGAGGGTACACATGGTTGGAGGTAGGGGCGGAGGGAGGGAGAATCTCAAGCAGATTCTGCGTTGAGTGTGGGGCTTGATACCATGACCCTGGGATCATGACCTGAGCTGAAACCAAGAGTTGGCTCCTTAACTGACTGAGCCACCTAGGCGCCCCTTCAGTAATTTTTTAAATGAAATTACACCAACAAGTTACCTAAAATGTTAGAAAATAGCAAAAAGCAAACATCTAGGCTTGTCCCCTACCACAGTCACTACAGCCCATTTGGTGTTTTTTCTGGACTCCGGTCTTACATTGTTACATCCTTTTTTTTTTTTTTTAAGAGAGAGTGCAAATGAGCATGGAGGGGGTAAGGGAGAGAGGGAGAGGGCGAGAGAATCTCAAGCAGACTCCCTGCTGAGCGCAGAGCCCGTAACCCTGAGATCATGATCCGAGCCGAAACCAAGTCAGACACTTGACTGAGCCACCCAGGCGACCCTGTACGTTTTTTTTTTAAATTACTATTTTTAATCGTTACCATATTTTTCATGTTGGTTTATAATCATAAATTTTGTTTAGACTGCCGGGGGTAGGAAAGCGGTTCCTCTTCCACGTTGTGAGCCAAATGACTAGACACAAGAGTCTGTGGATGAGAGGTTGGACGTGGCTCACGGCCAGTCGCACGGCATGGGGCAGCTCCGCGCAGGAGCCGCTCCCGTGGCACCTCTGTCCGGCTGCGCAGGGGGCTTCCAGCTGTGAGTGCCTGGCCCAGGCGCGGACTGGCCCCGTGGGCGTGCCTTCATGCTGGCTTGGAAGTGGTTCTGTGAGGGAGCTGTACTGGGTGCTCATTTCTGTTGCCAGAGCCTATTCTGAAATTTTAGTTGCTTTTAAAATTGGTAATTCGTTCATCTGGTTCAGAAATCCGAAGAACCAAGAGAGTTCACAGTGACATTTCCCTTGCACCTTTGCCCCCCATGTGGCCCACGTTAGGTGTGTGTGTCTTCCCAGAGCCAGCGGGTGCGTGTGCAAGCACATTTGCTGGTGGCTCTTGGAGTGTTTTACCAGATGCAGTGCTGTGGGAAGGGGGTTGCTGTGTCTCAGAGCAGTGTACGTGCCCAGTTTACAGACTCCACTGTCCTCTGTGGCAGACACACTTCAGTTTCCCTGACGCCTTCAGTTTTACCAAACTTCTCTATTTATGGTGTTTTCTCCTGTGCAGGAAGAGATGCACTTCTCATGCAAAGCTCTCTCCTTTTTGACCTCTGTGTATTTTGCTTCAAAAGTCCTTCTGAAATTTTCCTCTAAATGTGTGTATTTCTTTTGATCTAAGAATCCAGTAGAAATCCAGTAGCATTCTGAGTGGCCAATTACCCTCCCTCATGTATAGTTAGGCGATCTCTCTGTTTGCACCAAGATACTCGCTTTTTTCTTTTTTTTAAGATTTTATTTATTTGAGAGAGAGAGCACGAGAGGGAAGAGGGTCAGAGGGAGAAGCAGACCCCCCCCCCGCTGAGCAGGGAGCCCGATGTGGGAGTCGATCCCAGGACTCCAGGATCATGACCTGAGCCGAAGGCAGTCGCTTAACCAACTCAGCCACCCAGGCGCCCTCGCTTTTTTTCTTTTGTTTTAAAAAAAGATTTTATTTATTCATTCAAGAGTGAGAAGCAGATTCCCTGCTGAACAGGGAGCCCGACACAGGGTTCAATCCCAGCACTCCAGCTGAAGGCAGACGCTTAACTGAGCTACCCAGGCACCCCAAAAATGCTATCGGCTTTTTAATGCTGTAGTTTATTTTTAAAGTAAGCTCTACACCCAACATGGGGCTTGAACTCAGGACCCTGAGATCAAGTCACTCAGAGTCACTCTACCAGCTGAGCCAAGCAGGGGCCCCAGATGTTGGCTTTTCACTTTTCAGAGCCAGCAATCCAATTACTGGAGCCTTATAATACACTTTAATACCTGCGAGAGCTCTTCCCCTGGCTCTTCTTCCATGTTTATGAATTTAAAAGATTTTTTTTTTTTAATACTAATAGGTTCATCTGTTAAATGTATGGATTAAGTAGGGTTCTTGACAACTAATGTCTTTTTCATATATTTTGGTACTTGCTGCATTTGCTAATCAAATCTATTTCTCCTGGTTTTCTTGGTATATCATCTGAAATTGATATGTGCTTTTCCTTTTATTAGCATGAGAGAGGCAGGCTTCCCACTGAACAGGGAGCCCAACATTGGGCTCGATCCTGGGGTCCCAGGATCATGACCTGAGCCGAAAGCAGTTGCTTGACCCACTGAGCCACTCAGGCGCCCCCGTTGTGCTTCTTGTACTGGAACATCCTCCTACATTTTTTTGAATGTTCAGATAACCCCAAACTCTCAGAAAAGTCATCAGAACACAGAGGCTCTTGAGCTAATTTCTGGTGTTTTCTATGCTATAGACACATGCTGATTAAGAAGCTCAGTCAGCTGAGAGAGAGTGAGCCTGACCTGGCCCAGCTACTGGTTGATCAGGTGAGTCTCCTGGGGACGAGCAGAACTGCGGTGCCCACATCGTCTGGTGAAGTGGGATACCTGTTACCTTTTAAAACCCTGGTTTAAAGTTTTGAGAGAGCGCGTGGGGTGGGGGTGGGGCACGGCAGCAAAGGGAGAAGCAGGTTCCCTGCTGAGCAGGGAGCCCAGTGCGGGGCTTAGTCCTAGGACCCTGAGATTATGACCTAAGCCACCCAGGTGCCCCTAATACCCATTTTGAAAAAGGTAGTGCTCTTTTTTTTTTTCCCCTCTGCAGGGCCTTGTCCTCTCACTGATGAGGTTACCCCTACCTTTCAGATCTATGAGAACGCCATGATTGCCGCGGGGCTCGTCGATGACCCCCGCCCCATGGTGGGCCGCCTGAACCACCTGCTTGTCAAGGCCCTAGAGCGACGCTGAGGGGCCGTGGGCATGAAGGCCCCCAGTCTACCCGCAGGGACTAGGGCTCAAGTGGAGGACGACGAGGTAGCCTGAGACAGGACTGGTGACAGCACCCCCTTTGAGCTTTATTTACTTAAAAGCATTTGTTAATCTAAATGGTAAACTGGTAAACTTGTGTCTGGACTGCAAAGGCAGGTAGGCGCTCGGCTGCCACAAGGCCCTTACTCACACAGGAAGCAGAGATAGTGCCAGGTCTACTTCCCCAGACTCCAGCTGCTGGGGTGGTTCAGGGGAGGGTGCTCAGAGGAAAACCTCATTGCCCATGCTTACCGTGAGGACAGGCAAGCTGGAGAGGGGAGAGGTCACCAGCCCAGGCCCCATTCACATCAAACCATCTTTAGCATCACCTCCACCGGGTAATGGTCGCTGATGGCCTGGGCCTGTGGGGGAACCCATAGTGAGGACAGGGGTGCACGGCCCGCTCTGCACACGGTACTTTGTGACCGGACCCCCCCCCCCCACCCCCGCACCATGTGCTGGCCCCAGCAAAGCTGAAGCACGTAAGGGAGGACACCTACCAGCTCGCTGCTCAGGCCATAGGCAGCCTGGAAGTCAAAGGGGGTGGCCGAGTCCGGAACGATGGCATGCTGGAGCAGCGTCCCTGCCACCACAATCCTGCCGCACACAAGAAGGTCCCTGGCTGGGCCGAGGGACTGGGCACTAGGGTCCCGGACTGCACCCCACTGCCTGCAGCTCAGGAGGGTGACTGCCCCAGAGGAGGCAAGGCTGCTCCCAGAGTCGACCCCCTCCCTACCTGTCATAGGCACAGTGCGTGGCGGTGGCCGTGGTGTCTGCGGTATCAGGAATCAGCCACTGGAAGGCCGGGTTCATGCGCAGGCGGATGGAGGCCCACTGGGAGGGGGCCATGTAGCTGCAGCCAGCATTGAAGTCGCCCATGAGCATGATGTCCTAGTAAGAGACGGCAGCTGCTTGGCCTGGGCACGTTGCACATGCCCCCGGAGCCTGGGGTGGGGGACTGACCTCCAGGTCCCACTTCTGCCGGACATCCAGGTAGACGTCATAGAGCGAGTCCATCTCCGCCACGGCGTCCAGGGGGGCCGCATGCAAGGGAATAATGGCGAAGGCCTGGACCGCTGGGGAGAGGGTGGTCCTGCTCAGTCCCAGGGTGGGGGCATGAGCCAGTCCCAAGGCGGTGTGTTCCCGAGTGCCTTCAACGTCAGACTGAAGCACTAGGGGGGGGGCAGGGCTTTCCAGGGCCCCCAGGAAGGGGTGCATACCGGTGAGCGGGGAGTGGAACAGGACGATGGCGGGCTCGCGGCTGAAAGTGTCGTTCCCGCAGGGCTCGCAGCCGTCGTCATACTGGTAGCTGTCCAGTACAGACACCTGGTTGGGTCTGGGGAAGGCCAGGGGCTTAGCCTGGGACCGGGGGTGCAGCCTGGTGGAGGGGGGGTGGCCCACACCAGGGCCCCGGGCTCTTGGGAGGCCACAGAGCACGAGCCAGTTCCTCCCCGTAGGACAGACTGCTGCCCTTGAGGACCCCCTCAGCCTCAACGTCCCCGGGTGGCCCCCATTTCTCGGCGCTGGGGCTTTACCTGAACAAGAAGAGGTACTGTTCCTTGTAGCTGTTGCGGCCCAGCGGCTTACTGACCACGAACTGATAGGTGTTGGGGTCATCCCTGGATTAAGGAAATGAACATGCCCGTCAGAGGGCCCCCAGGGAACCCTCCTGTTGCCCACAGCAGGGCTCTTGGCTCCGTCAGGCAATGGTACCGTGCCATGGGGGGAGGATCACCGTCCTGTGCCTCCCCAGCCCCCCCCCCAATCACCCACTGATTGAGTATGTCCAGCAGCTTCCCCACGGCTGTCAGGTGGCTGTCTCTGACCTCCTGGATGACAGCAATGTCATAGCGGCTCAGGATCTGTGGACAGGGCCACGGTGGTGCTGAGCAGGGCAGCCTGGGTGGACACCGGCTGCAGGTCCCCACAAGGGCTGAAATGCTCCCTGGGGCATCTTCAGGTTATGGTTTGGCCTGATGCTCCTGCCTGGGATTCTGTCGCCAACCATGATGGAACAGCAGACGGGGGTCCTCCCTGTCACCAGAGGCTCTCTATACCCCGTCTGTGGTCGCCCTCAGGACTGGCTGCTGCCCCAGTGTTCCCAGAACCTGTTAGACACCCCCACCCCGGGGTTCCTTGGGGACAGGCCGGCCTGGACTGACCTGCACAATGTAGTGGGAGAGCGTGGCATTGGACATCTTGGTCTCCCCAAAAGTTCGGATGTTGAAGGCTGCTATTTTCAGGGACAGGGCCACCTGCAGCAGGCCAGCCAGGGCGAGCAGTGCCCCCATCAGCCTGGCGCCTCTCATCGTGGAACAGGAGGGATGTTTACCTGTGAGGCTGGAAATAAGACAGTGCCTCCTCCTCCTCCCCGAGTCCAACCAGGTGGGGCTGGTGGAGCCCAAAGTGGAGTAAATCCTGTTTCTGTAGGCTATGCTGAACAGGCCAGGCTGAGCACAACCCTCTCCCCAGTGTCCAGAGAGCCAGACAGCTAAGTAAAACGCCCTTGGGTCTTCTCACTACACCTGCCAGAAGACCAGCCCCTGTGAGAGTTGCCGGCCCGAGGTGGCCCCCGGCCCTCTGTTGCTGAGACACCGGCTCACTGCCCTCCCTGCTCCAGGCACCCACCCAGCCTGGACGGGCAAGGGCTCTTCCCAAGGGGCCAGTCACCTGAGGGGCCTCCAGGCCTGGCACCCCTTTTCCATGGGCCCTGTGTCACACTGCCCTTGGGGCACCAGACACTCACCCGAAGGTCAGCTTCTGCAAGGACGATGGAAATTCTTACAAGAGTTAGGAATAGATATCCTCTGCTCAGTATCTATGGTCTCCTTTTGCTACTTTAAGAAAAATTAGTTACAAAGAGAGTGAATTAAAAAACAGGCGAGACACCCATGCAGAGTTGCAGCTGAGTCCCAGCACAGGGAATGTTTGTTTCCCCCTGGGGTTTTAAAGGTTTAGGCAGTTGTGACCTTTCCCAGGGCATCACCTGGGGGACAGAAGAATGGTGCAGCCTGTGTGGCTTTCCCACGCACCTGGTTGGCTGGCGTGCACCTATTCCAACAGGCACAGGTTCTTGCTGCTGTAAAAAGAGCACCAGATAATATTTGCCATTGGTTTCAAAAAGTCTAATGACCGGGCCAAGGTGCCCGTGTCCTTCACACATGCTGCTCTCCCAGGTAGCAGGTGTGTGTCAGGGGCCGGGCCCGGCTGTGTTCCAGTCTGGAGATGACCTTGGAGCCACAGGTCAAAGCCAACCATTCCCCCCGAGACCCAACCACCGCTTCCTCATGGGTCTGCAGTGTCGGCTGCAGGCCACTGGGCTGGAAATTGGGCTCTCCCTGAGGAGCACGTGCCGTGGGCCCCAGGAAGCGGTGGGATGCAGGGCCCACCTCCATTGCCAGCAAGGCAACGGGGAACCTTAGGGTGAAGAGTGTGTGTTTCAGGCGGAGGTGACCCCAGGTGACTGAAGGACACCATCAAGCAGCTGAAGGCTCTGGGCTAGGCCTCATGTACAGTCATTTCTGTTTTGAAATCCCTGACTGTCCTGTTTGTGGTCATTTTCTGTGTCTGCAGAAACAAGTCACTAAAAAGCTGGTGGCTTAAATTGACAAAAACGTATTCTCTAACAGCTGTGGAGGCCAAAGACCAAAATCCATTTCACGGCGCTGAAATCAAAGTGTCCCGGGGGCCGCACTCCCATAGAGACATGGGGGAAGGTTCCCTGAATCTCCAGCTCCCGGGGGCTCCAGGTCACCCCACTCCATCCACCCCCGTCGGCACGCTGCTGTCAGTTCTGTTCCTCTTACAAGATCCATGGGATGGGATTTAGCATCCTCCCGGACCTTCAGAACCTTCTCCCCATCTCAAGAGCCTTGACTTGATTGCACCTGTAGAATCTATTTCCTGTCCTCTAAGTTAACAGTCAGAGGTTCCAGGGGTTAGGCCAGGGATCTCTTCTGGGAGCCATTTACGATCCCCTGGAAGGGACTCCGCCCATCAGGAGGGGCCACAGGACTGGAGGACAGGGAGCTTGGAGCGGCCTTGAGGCAAGGGTCAGGGAAGTGCGGATCCAGCCAGGGCGTCACGGGGCAGGAGGTGGCAAAGGGGATGAAAAACCAGTCAGACGGTAAACCAACAAGACCAGGAGTCCAAGGTAATGAAAGCCTGCTGACAGACAGCTGTGGCTGTCACACCAGTCCGTTCACGTGTCCCTCCTGTGTAGTCAGGTGGCCTGGCCCTCAAACTGCCAGCACGCCCATCACAGCCTGAACAAAGATTTGCTTGCTGCCTCTCCCGTTCTCCATCTCTTGAGTTTTTAAGCACATCAAAATCCAGATTGTGCTCAGCGAGCAAGACTGTTGGTGTGTGCACCGCAGGCACCTGGAGCCTGTTCTCCCATGCACTCGTTGCTAGACACCCCGTGCCGGACCTTTCAAGGGAAATCTGGGAGCAAACGCAGAAGGAGGCTGCCAGCCCCGCTTCTGAATGAACATGGAATGCTGCCCACAGGTGGCATTAAGTGTCACCCTGCAGCTACCTGGTCCTTCCAGTTCTCAGCACACGCAACACGGGCACCTATCAGCACACCCGTCCTGGGCAAAACGCTGCCCTTGTGCCCTGTGGAGCTCCCTGGTGTGGTCTCTGCCCTCCCTCCTGGGTCCTCACTGCGGCCCCACTTATACCAAGAGCCAGGCCCAGTGCATGGCTGCCGTATCGGCTGCCCTAGGAGTTGGGCCTGCAGGAGCAGCAACACCGCCCGCAAAAGAGCTTCGATCAGGAGTTGGGGGTCTGGGGGCCGCACCAGACTCACCTGCTGCATCTTCACCCATTTTTTTTTTTTTAAAGATTTATCTATGCATTTGAGAGAGCACGCACGTGCGCAGAAACGGGAGGGACAGAGGGAGAGGGAGCCCGACGGGACTCGATCCCAGGACCCTGAGATCATGACCTGAGCTGAAGGCAGACACTTAACGACTGAGCCACCCAGGCGCCCTGCATCCTCACTCTCATTTTGAGCCTCGTCTTCATCTATAAAATGGGGAAAAAACTGTCACTGCCCTCCTCTTGGGTTTAAGTATCAACGGATAACATTCCACGGAAGACACATATCACATGTCCTTAAAAATCGTCTTTATCCTTAAGAATAATAACCCTCTCAAAGGCTCTATTTGTCACTCTCTTACCTTTTTCTCATGGACTTCTTTTCAGTTTTTATCAGTCAGCTCTTGTGTAACAAGCAATCCCCAAACTCAATGTACAACATATGCTTCCTCATGCTCACAGGCCTGCAGCTACCCAAGGCACAGTCCTGTAAATGGTGGAAGGTGAAACTTCCAGAGGAGCAAATAAACGATGCCTCCAGAGGCCCCAATTCAGAATTTGCATGTTGCCACCTCTGACCACATTCTTTTGGCCTCCACAGTGGCCAAGCTCAACACTAACAGCGAGGAGTCCGGGTACACTCCTCCCATGCCCAGCCCCACAACGGAGACACAGAATAGGTGGCCAGGGAAAGGTAGGAAGCCCCATGCTTCTGGCATTTTTCAGTCCTGACAGCAGGGAAATGAGCGCTGACAGCAGACCACCTTCTCTGATCAGGCTGAAGTATTTTTACATCAATCCTGAAAGACTGACACCCTCTTTGGTTAAACCCTACTCCAGAGACAGGAAGGGGAAACTGCACGTCACAATGGTTTACTGAAGTCAAAGCCAGGTCTTCAGCTCTGGTATGGCTGAAATCAAAGGATAAGGAAAACATCCTCTAAGCACTAAGGCTGGCAACAATGGCAGCAAAGGAACACCTCTGTGCAGGTTGGTGGCCTGCATGTCACAGTAACTGCCACAAGACCCTGTGACCTGCTTCTGAACGCTCTGGGGGTGGGGGTGGCTTGACACCAAAATGTAGCCCTGGGGTGAGGATGACCACGGAAATGGGAAGGACACACAGCTGTGGTTCCCACACTGACCCTGCTGGGCACCACAGGACATGCAGCTTCTGAGGGGACCAGTGATCCTCAACATGGCTGGACACTGTGGTTCAGGTGCTCACGGTTTCAACAGTTTCTCTTGCTACATTCCTTTCCGTTGCTGCAGGTCTGTGCAAGGCTAGGTTTCTGCGGTTACTGAGAATGTTCTGTGTGAAAATCTGTGTGCGGCAGGCACTAGGGATGGCAGCATCCACTCTGATTCCATGATTGTAAAAGTGCCCAATAGGCTTACGTTCCATTCCTAAGTAATTTTGGTGACTTACTGAAAATATTTTTTCTTCAAATTCATATGTACAGACATTCCTCAATTTATAATAAAGGTTATGTCCTGGTAACCGCTGTAACCACATTGAGAACCATAACTTTCCACTGCAAGTTGAAAATGTTGAAATGCACTTGATACACCTAACCTACCGAACACCACACCTTAGGCTCGCCTACGTTAAACGTGCTTGGAACACTGACATTAGCCTACAGTTGGGCCAAATCCTCCCACACAAAGCCTATTTTATAATAAAGCATTCAATATCTCATGTAATTTGCTGAATACTGTACTGACAGTGAAAAACAATGTCTGTCAAGGGTATCGACTGCTACCCTTGTGACCGCATGGCCGACTGGGTGCTGGGGTTCCTGCCACTGCCCAGCATCCCGAGAGAGGATCCTACTGCAGATCATCGGTCCAGGAAAAGATCGACGTTCAAAATTTAAAGTATGGGTTCTAATGAATGCATATCATTTTTGCACATTATAAAGTCAAAACTCTTAAGATGAACCATTGTGTGTTAGGGACTATATTACTTTTCCAAATGTCTCTAAGTTGCTAGGACATAAATACTTAAGTTGTTTAGACTTACCTATTTAATTAATGGAACTGTTAGGTATTTTTGGTCTAGGCAGTCCCTTAGAATAATTACGGAACCTTACATAGGGGTGCTCTGAACTGAGAACGTCTGGGAACCTTTGGATCTAACACATACATAATGAATATGCCTGAGTTACCGTATCTATAGGTTCCTATACGGAAGATACCTTCTCTTCCAGCCTTCATCATTTCTAACAGAGTGAATACCTATCTTTTCACAAATTCTCAAATCTACAAACTGCTAATGAGAATAATTGCGATCTCAACTGTTTTTAAATGCATGAGTACATACCGATGTAAAAAATTCATCAGTCACCTTTGGGAGATAGTGGGGAATCAGCTTGTTATTCTGCAAAGTGGCCAACAGTCAAAAATCAAGAAAACTCCCTGCCTTTCCTATGTAAATGGTACCACTGAGTTGCTCAATGGTTACTAAGGGGAAAGTTGTTTATATAGGAGTATTCCAACTAAGCAATGAATTCCAGCTAAGCAATGAATGACTGCTAGAATTTGAGACTCAGCAATTTGCAACCCCTAATGTAGGCACTGATCATCAGTGGTTACTAACTCAACAGAAGACAACCAGCTGTCCACACCTGAACAGAGGACACAACAGCACTTAGAAAGTAGCTTGCCAAAACCACTGCAAATATATGCAACCCCTAGATCTCAGTACCAACTCACAAGGGACAGAAGCACATCAGTCATCACCACCATGGGGATGCAGCATAATCCAGACTGTGGGAAACTACAGGACAAAGGATGGTCTCATCAATAAATTTTAAGAAAAAGAGGAGAGAGGGGCGCCTGGGTGGCTCAGTCGTTAAGCGTCTGTCTTGCGGCTTGGGTCATGATCCCGGGGTCCTGGGATCAAGCCCCACATCGGGCTCCCTGCTCGGCGGGAGGCCTGCTTCTCCCTCTCCCACTCCCCCTGCTTGTGTTCCCTCTCGCTGTGCCTGTGTCAAATAAATAAAATCTTTAAAAAAAAAAAAAAAGGAGAGGAGGAACTCAGAATAAAATGAAATATGAGATCTATTACTAATGCAATATGGATCCTGTAAAACAATGGATCTCAGTCGTTTAAACAAACATTTCCTTGGGGCGCCTGGGTGGCTCAACTGGTTAAGTGTCTCAGTATCAGCTCCGGTCTTGATCTGAGGGTTCTGAGATCGAGCCCCACACTGGACTCCATGCTGGGTGTGGAGCCTATTTAAAAAATAATGAACGAAATGGGGTGCCTGGGTGGCTCAGTTAAGCGTCTGCCTTCGGCTCAGGTCATGATCCCTGGGGTCCCGGGATCGAGCCCCATGTCGGGCTCCCTGCTCGGCGGGAAGTCTGCTCCTCCCACTGCCCCTCTACTGCTGCTTGTGCTCTCTCTCACTCTGCTAATAAATAAAATCTTACAAAAAAAAACCCCTAACTAAATAAATGAATGTTTGCTTAACAAACAAGTCACTTAAGAGGCAATCGGGAACATGAGAACACTGGTGTGGTGAGTGAGGAAATTTCAAGCGCACCTGGGCTCACTGCTCTTTGCTTTAGTGCGCTTCACACAAACTGCAGTTGTGGGACAACCCTGCCTCAGGCACGTCTGTCAGCACCGCGGAGCCCACAGCACCACCTGCTCACTCCGTCCCTGTCTGTGTCACATTCGCGTACTTCTCACAGGAGTTCCACCGTTTTCATTCTTACCGCACTTACTGTGGGGATCTGGGAGGGGTGAGCTGTGATGTTACCAGCGTAGCTGTTCTGGGGCACCACAAACTGCGCCAATGCTGAGACAGCACACTCCAAAGTATTGTGCATGTTCCGTCCGCTCCTGCAACTGGCCGTTGCCCCATCTCTTGCCCTCTCCTCGGGCTTCCCTGTTCCTGGAGACACAACAGTACTGAAATCAAGCCAATTACTAACTGGACAGTGGCCTTTAGAAACTGAAAGGAGGAGTGAGTCACTCATCTCTCACTTTAAATCCAAAGCTAGAAATGACTGAGCTTAGCGAGGAAGGCGCATCAAAAGTCAAGACAGACAAAAGCGAGGCCTCTTATACCAGTTCGCCAAGTTGTAAATGCAAAGGAAAGGTTCTTGAAGGAAATTAAAGATGCTACTCCAAGTGAACACACAAAAATGAGAGAGCGCAACAGCCTTATTGCTAATACAGAGAAAGCTTTAATGGGCTGGATAGAAGATCAAACCAGACACAACACTGCCTTAAATGAAAGCGTGATCCAGAGCCAGGTCATCTCTTCAAACCTATGAAGGCTGAGGGATGTAAGAAAGCTGAAGAAGGAAAGCACAAAACAAGTAGAGGTGGTTCATGAGGTTTAAGGAAAGAAGCCAAAAAAAGTGCAAGATGAATCTGTGAGTACTGATAGGCTGCAGAAAGGGATCCAGAAGATCAATGAGATCATTAATGAAGGTGCCTACAATGACCAACAGATTTTCAACCTACACAAAACAGCCTTGTAAAGAGAAGATGTCATCTAGCACAGTCACAGCTAGACTAGACATGTCAGTGCCCGGCTTCAAAAGGCAGACTGACTCTCTTGTTAGGTGCTCATTTAAGAGCTGGTGACTTTAAGTTGAAGCCAGTGTTTACTTACCACACTGAAAATCCTAGGGTCCTTAAGATTATACAAATCTACTCTGCTCGTGCTCTCTGAATGGAACAACAAAGCCTGGATGACGGCACATCTGTTTACAACATGATCTACTGAATAGTAAGCCCACATGTTGAGACCTACTGCTCAGAAAAAGATTCCTTTCAAAATGCTCATGACAATGCACCTGGTCAGCCAAGAGTTCTGATGGAGATGGACAATGAGATTCATGTTGTTTTCACGCCCACTGACACAACATCCATTCTGCAGCCCAAAGAGCAAGGAGTAATTTTGACTTTCAAATCTTAATATTGAGAAATACATTCTGTAAGGCTGTAACTGCCTTAGACAGTGATTCCTCTGACGGATCTGGGCAAAGTCAACTGAAATCCTTCTGGAAAGAATTCACCATTAACATTTGTGATTCATGGAAAGAGATCAAATATCAACCTGGAGTTTGGAAGAAGTTGATTCCAACCCTCATGAATGACTTCGAGGTGTTCAAGACTTCAGTGGAGGAAGTCACTGAGATGTGGTGGAAATGGTAAGAGAACTAGAATCAGAAGTGGAGCCTCGGGTGCCTGGCTGGCTCAGGCAGAGGAGTGAGCAACTCTTGATCTTGGGGTTATGAGTTTGAGCCCTACATCGGGTGGAGAGATTACTTAAATAAGTAAATACTAAAAAAAGAAGTGGAGCGTGAAGATGGGGCTGAATCACTGCGATCTCATAATAAAACTTAAAACAGATGAGGAGTTGCTTCATGTGGATGAGCAAAGAAAGTGCTTTATTGAGACAGAATCTTTCCTGGGGAAGATGCTCTGAAGACTGTTGAAATGACAACAAAATATTTATTGTAAACTTAGCTGATAAAGCAGCCGTAGGGTTTCAGAGGATTGACTCCAATCTTGAAAGAATTTCTGCCATGGGTAAAATGCTATCAAACAGTATCACATGCTACAAAGAAATCGTTTGTGAAAGGAAGAATCGATTAAGGCGGCAAACACCACTGTTGTCTTATTTTAAGAAATTGCCACAGTCACCCCCACCTTTAGCAGCCACCACCCTGATCAGTCAGCAGCCACCAACATCAAGGCAAGACCCTCCTCCAGCAAAAAGATTATGACTTCCAGAAAGCTCAGACGATGGTTAGCATTTTTTAGCAATAAAGTAATTTTTAATTAAAGTTCGTACATTGTTTTTTAGACATAATGGCATTGCATATTTTAATAGACTACAGGATACTGTAAACATAACTTTTATATTCACTAGGAAACCCAAAAATTCATTTGGCTCACTTTATTGTGACAGTCACATTATGATGGTGGTCTGCAAATGAACCAAACACCAAGGTGGGCTGGTATTAAATGTTTAGGTGTGGTCATGCCATTGTGGATATGCTTTCAATGATCCTTGGATTTTTTTTTTTTTTTGTGCAAAACCTGTTTTTATTAAAGCAAAGGGACAGGACTCATGGGCAGAAAGAGCTGCCAATCCTTGAATTTTAGAGTCACACTGAAATATTTAAGGATGAAATTATATGCTATCTGGGATTTGCTTCAAAATGTGGCCCTGAAGCTAGGTGGTGGGCACATGAAGGTCCAGCATACTAATTTCTACTTTTGAATATGTTGAAATTTTCCATAATTTAAAAAAATTCTATAATTGAAACATTTGTAATCCATAACTAAATACAAGGCATCATCCAAAAATGATGTAGTAAGAAGTTGGGGGCACCTGGCTGGCTCAGTCAGAATAACATGTGACTCTTGATCTTAGGGTCATGAGTTTGAGCCTGACGTTGGGTGAAGAGATTACTTTAAAAAAAAAACAAAAAACAAATTTTAAAAATGTAGTAAGTTAATATTAAAAAAGAAATCACTCAAAATACTTTAAATGCTCAGGTCTGCAGGTTAGGAAGTGCCTCTGGTAACCGTGAGGAGCAGGGCTGGGCTCGGGCGGAGGGAAGGCAAGCAGGCTGCCTCCAGGTGAAGGGACAAGGATGGCTGACATGGAAGGTATGGTGAGGCGGGGAGAGCGCTGTGGCCTTAGGACAAGCCTTGGTGGCATACTGGATGTGGAACATGAGAAAGAAGGATTTCAAGCTGTCAGAAACTCTGGGTTGGGAGACGGTGACCAGCTGTCAGGTCCTGCAGTCCGGCAGCCTTAAGAGGGATGGTGCTTTTCCACCTGTGCAAGAAACACTGCTGACTCTCCTCAGAGATGGGGCTCTGTCCCCCATCCTGGCTGCAGCCAGGACACCTCCACTGACATCCAGTGGGCTTTGCAAACTTGCTACGAAGGAACCAGACTGCAGACTGCATCCCTGGATGTCCCCACCCTGCCTCCACTGAGATGCTCAGATACCTCAGACTCCCCTGGCTCCCTGCCTTCCCTCAGCGCGACCCCAAATGCAGTCCCTGTCTGCACTCACTCTGCTTCTGCAGCCACCATGCCAGTCCTCCCCGGAAACATGCAATGCCCACCAGTGGTCTCCCTGCTTCCGGAAATCCACCCCATGATCTGTCTCTGCACAGGACCCAGCACGTCTTGTGAACGTGCCATCAGATCATGTTATTCTTCTGCTTACAATCTGTCATCAGTTTCTCCCAGTCCCTGAGATGAAAGCTGAAGCGATTCTAGCTCTGGGCCTCTGCTCCGCCTGCAGAGCTGGGCTGCCCTGTCATTCTGGTTTCAGCTCAAACATCACCTCTTAAGGGAGGTCATCCTCTCTCCAACAATCCTTACCACCAACATGGTCCCAGTATCATCTCTTTCATTACTTTTAGCACTTGTTTTCTTTGTTCTTTCATGTGTTTGCTCTTACTTATTTACACTCGTTTAAGGCCACCTCTGGACTGGAACACAAACCCCACGAGAGCAGAGACCTGGTACAACCTGTCCATCAACTTCCTTGTGCCTAAACCAGTGCCTGGAACACAGAAGGCGTGCCACTGACAAATGCCTAACACAGTCGGGCTGTGTTCACCTATGAACACAGTCGGGCTATGTGCTCACCTGCTCCACACCTCCCTCAGCACCCTCCTGGCTAAGAGGATGTCCGTTCCTCAGGGACCATCCAGAGACCCCAGCAAGGCCTCCTGTCTTGAAGCACAGGGTACACTGTGGGGCATCCAAGTGGCCTCCCAGGAACGAGAACCTCCCAGGAACCATGGCTGTCACGGCCCCCCAGGCCTGCCTCCCCTCACCCAGACTCAACATGTATTCCTTCTCTCTCTGTGGGAAGGGTGTTCACTGCCCCACAGAGCAGTTTAGAAGACAAGGGGCTTCCATCCTTTCCTTCAGATAAAAGGCTGATGTCTTTGCCATGACATTGCTTTAATCCATGTCAAACAACCTGTGTGGGTCAGCACGCTGGCCTTGGCCCATGACCTTGCCTTACCTCACCATCCCTCATGAATTTATTTCTGTTCATTATAAAGAAACCATTAACCCAGAGTGGAAAACTCCTCAGAACAACATGCACCTAAATCGCTATGATCCAAAACAGCATCAGTCATGCTCTGCAGTAGCTCTGGCCCCCACGTCCTCACCCCTGCCTGTGCCCATGCCCATCACATCAGTGCAACAGGTGGCACTCAGGACCCGCGATGTGATGCCTGAAAAGCGTGTGCACACCCCTTGCAAACCAGACGGGCCTCCATTTCCCCAATCCCACCAGTCCTCAATGCTACCTTTCTGCACTCTGCATTCAGGGGAGAAGCAAACAAAAAGCTGTGTAAAAAGGCAGTTTCTAAGGCGTATGTTGAGAGGTTAGCATACATTTAGCCCAAGACCATAAATAAAAACATGCTTGTGTTCCTGACAATGAATTTGAGGGCCCCAAAGATTTCATTAGCATCACAAAGCTCTTCCAACATGCCAAGAGTATTTCCAACAAAGTTGCACTGAAACATGTTCTCCAAGTTCCAAAGACCTGCCAGTTTCTCCAAGCACAAAGAACCTTCCTTGGCAGGAACCCCCCTGCTGCCCAAGGTTGGGGGTCTACAGAAGAGACAAACAGGGCCCTGGGGGCCCAGGACAAGGACGCTCAAAGGGTAGTGTGGGCTAGTTGCAGAGGGTTTTGCAGGGGTATTTTCTACTATCTCTCTTCCAGTTCACTAATCCTTTCTTCAACTGCCTCTAACCTACTGTTAGGTCCACTTACTGAACTTTAAATTTTAGTCATGCTCTCCTGTTTCAGATTTTTCATTTAATTTTTTTATGAATTCTATGTGGAATTCTGCATCTTCTCTCTTTGCTTTAATATGTTAATCAGCTAAAGTCCGTGTCTGACAACTCCAATACCATAGTCTCTGGGTGGGTCTGTCACCCTGCCCAGTCCTGTTTGTCAGGGTACCTGGTAAACTAACTCAGCATCAGGCACGGTGGGTGAAAGGATGTGGGTTGATTAACTCCGCAAGCTGGTCTGGCTAGCATAGGCTACATGGACATCTCTGAGCTATATGTGGCCTGTGCAGAGGTATACCAACCGATGAGTGACAGCCAGAAGGAACACAGGCCATGTCCCTCTGCCTGACCAAGAGTCTCTGGGGCTGAAGACCTCTGTGTCCTTGTCTGAACCCTCTGGTATCTCTCCTTACCAGCCCAGTCCTACAGTGAAGATGGCAGCAGGACACAGCAATTCTACATTCTAGAAGCTCATTCTATAACTTCTCAGAGAACAGGAGCGTGTGCCCTCAGCTGAGGTCTACCACCTCGCTCTTAGAGAAGGAGCCTTGGGGGTTGCAGACTGCCAGCTCCAGGCCTGCTTCCTCTCTGGGGACCCTGCCCTCCTGGCCAGATGGGCAATGCTGGTTTTTTTATAATTAGTGCAAGTAACTGCTGTGCTTCCTGCCTAGGACTGGCCATGGTGCTTATCTATAAACACTATAGTTTGTTATACATTGACAGTTTCAAACATGTTTCCCAAATGGGCTCCTGCCTCAGGGCCTTAGCACTGTCCCTCTACCTGGCATTCTGCCTCCAGATGGGCATACTGCTTGCCCCTTTCACTCAAGCCTCTTCCCAGATGTCACCTCACCACAGCATCCTACTTAACATGTTTTGTCCCTTATTTTTGTCTTACCACAATCACATCTAATAATGTACATTCTGTCATATTGGATGCAGTCCAGTGACAGCTAGGGCTTATGTATCAGCACCTAAACAAGCCATGACCCATAGTGGGTGCTCACCAAGTGGCTGCTGAACAAAAGGATGCACATCAGAGAGGGGCCTTTTTGACAGAACAATGGCTTTATCTAGATGCTCTCCACCCTCTCCAGCTGCTTTGGCTGTCCCCATCTAAGTGTGAGCATCTCACACAAAGGGGGCCTGACCCAGTCTTCACTGCTGAATGAGTGAAGGGATAGGCTTCTGCCACCAGGCCAGGCTCCTCAGCCTCCACATCCCAAATCCTTGTGGGATGGAGACATCGAACCAAGGGTGATAAGGGAGCACCAAAGTTACAGCTCTTACTGGGAGGGAAAGGCTCCTGTAGGCTAAGGAGCTGTCAGAGTAGTACTTGGGTAAAGCACAGCCAGAAAGCAAAGACAGGACCAGTTCATCCTGTCATGGAAGTCCCAGGCAGAGGCTGAGGACTGTCAGACAGCAGACCCCAGAGAGTAGCTGGTGTGGGCCTATCTCTGTGGAGAGGAGGGAACTGCCCAAGTCTGAGCCCAGAAGGACCCTCACAAGAACCAGTGGTCCCAGGAGCCAACACGCATTAGATGGTGCAGCCCCACAACATAGTGGCCACTGAAGCTCTCACCACTGACCCTCAGGTCTGAGTACTAAGTGACGGCGTCTTTTCTAATTCTGCCCAATCCTTCCTGGATGGGCCAGCTGGGAGGGTTGATCCCATGTCTTCCCTACCTCCCCGGTTACTGTGTCCACTAGTCCCCAGCCTCTGTTCACCCATTCTCTGAGCATCGCTGGACCTTAGACTGTAGGACATTAAGGCAATGTGGCTCTGCTAGTGTGGAGGAGACCACAGTTCCCAAACTCCTCTTGGTGTTTCCCACCCCCCAGGAAGCTTCACGCTGGAATGTTCCCATAACTCTTCCCTGGGGGGTAGGGATGCATGCAGTGAGAGCCTATGGGGCTGAGTCACATGAAAAGGCTCCCACTAAACCATCCTACCCCAGCGCCTCAGCCTTCCCCCTTAACTGGCCTCCAGGACAGACGCCTCATCAGGTCTGCCACGAGTGGAGGATGATGCACTTGTCCTGCCCCAGACCCCCACCGAGCCACGGGGCTCCCAGAGTGCCTGCCTGTCCTGAACCCCTGAATGTGGGCAAACTCAAGGACCCTGCCACCACTCTCCCCCCAGAGGTCTGGGTACCACCCCCAGGGAAGAATGTGAGGCTGGTAGAGTCCTGGCTGCGGGAACAGGAAGGTGCTTCTGGGTGGAGAACAGGAAAGGCAGTCGCAGAGACCTCTGCCTACTCACGAACTGCAGGCTCTGGGGAGCAGCACTGGTTCCCACCCCACTTCTATACCGCTTCAGAAAACACGTCTACTCACCTTGCAAGGCTGGCTTTTCAGGCTCCCCTCTTGCTGCCTGCATGACAGCTGCCAGCCAGGGATCAGGGTCCCTGCCTCAAAGTGGAAGTGTAGCAGGGCAGCACTGGCCACCAGTGGCCATTTCGACCCAGCTGTGGCCGTGGACAGGGCCTCGGGCAGAAGCAGAGGTGGCCCCAGGAAGCCAAGGAGGAGCCCAGGCCAAGGTCAGGCTGCCCAGAGGTAGGTGGCCTTGTCAGTCCAGTTCCCCGTCGTCTGAAGACTACTGGAGTCATGGTGGGCCACGGAAGCAGGCCAGAGACTCTGCCTGTGCAAGTTCATGGGTGATCAGCTCCTTTCTTCACGTGAGGTCCTGTGAGGAGGTGTTGATCCTTGCAAGCACCTCAGCCCAGCAAGGACACAGCCACACAATATGGTAAAGGTGAGCCTGCTGTGGGGCGAACCCCAGGCCTCCACCACGTCACTGTCTTCCAATCTGTACCATCTTCCTGTTCCCATTCGTGTGACTGCTTAATAAAAGAAAAAGGAGTGTTAACACTGTCAGTTGGCTTAGCCAGAGAGCCCCCCTACCCCATTCTGAATTTCATTAAGCTCCTGACAGGTTGTTTCATCTATTTGGTTATGTAGTCATTCAAGACAGAGTAACAGGGCCCTGTGAACTCAGGAAAACTGGGCAAGAGATGATGTGATGCGTCTCCTGTCACCAGAGGTGATCGCAGCAAGAAGGGAAACCAACAGTGGGAGCCCTGTGACTGCACCAGCCACGGCCAAGGTGGTTCCAGGCTACAGGGCGGGGAAAGGAAACTCAGACAGCCGGCCGTCTCCTTCAGGGGAAGAGACAGGAGGGCAAGGAGGCAGCTAGGACGTGGGGGCAGAGTGCTAGGGAGGAGGGGCTGCAGAGCAGGCAGAGCTCCAAGATATGCAGCTGAGGAGGAATCTGTACCCATGTGAGACAAACTATGCGAGGAGCCCAGGGCAGGAATCCCTGGAAAAGAGCAGATGGAACCAGACCTCACACAGGGATGGCCCTATTTTATGTTCCCATAAGCCACCATGGTAAAGCCTCCCAATTCATAGCGTATCGGGTAGAATCCTCAGAAGGGGATTGCCCCTCACAATGGGGCTAAATTAGCTGCAGACCAAAGGCCCACCCTAACACTGCTCAGAAGCAAGCCTCCAAAGAATCACCTGATGCCAAGGAACTTAACTGTGTGCCAGACCAAGATTAACTCTATTTGAAGGAATGCAACAAACCCCAGCAACCAACAACATAAATTCACAATGTCCAGTATTCAATAAGGAAACGGCCAGGTATATCAGCTGGAGTCCAGCCAGGAGAGAGAAACCACATGGTATTTTAACAAGGGAAGTTTAGTATAATTATTAACCATTTATAAGGGGTTAACTGAAAGGAAACAAAAGAGAACTCTACAGAATACCCTACGGTGAAGGGAGGTACCCAAGGAAAGGATTCACACCTGGGAGGTGGGTGGTCACCAGCCCACTGGATGGTGAAAAGTTCACTGGGCTGTCCCAGGCCAAAGCTGGAGGCTGACGACAACCAGTGTGGGTGCCAACAAAATGAGATGGGAAGCTGTGTGCAGAGGTGCTGATGAATTCACTGGAAAGCTGCCAGGAGGCCAGCCAGGGTCCCATGGAACTTGCCTGGCAGTGCCTGCCCCTTCCAGACATACAGAGAGTATCAGGGCGGGCACCACAGGGGTGCTGCTGAATTTGCAGCCAGGAAACTGCCTGAAAAGGTGCCACAGAAACTTAGTGGAGTGAGCTCTCATGCGTCCTATGTGCCAGCCTGTGTCATAGAACAGAAAAAAGCAGAACACACAGAACCAGGAAGAGAGGCCCCTTCTCCTCCAGCACCCCCAACGGCGAGGACTGGCATCAGGCTAGCTGGCAAGGGAGAAACATTCCAGCATCACAAGCAAGCAATGAAGCGTGAACTGGTAACTGCTATACCAGGCATGTGAAAGAGCGAAATACGACCTCCAACCTTCAGAAAGACCATTAGAAACTGACCTAGCAAAGGCAGAGATATAGGAACTGGCAGACAAGGATGATGAATATTATTTTATAAAAATGCTTCACATATTCAGGACCTTAGAGGGAAACATGTGCATGATGGAGAGGAAAATGGAAGCCATAAAAAGACCCTAGAGATGGTAAGAATAGTCACTGAAATGAAAAAACATTAGTATGGGATTAACATCAGATCAACACTGTAAAAGAAAAGATCAAAGACTTTAAAGACATAGCAACTGAAATGACTCAAAGTAATACACACACAAATAAATAAATAAAGCATACAGATAAAACAAACAAGAAACACCAGACACTACCAAGCAGGCCAATGTGCATTAACTGGAATCCCAGAAAAAAGAAGAGCAAAAAGGAGACAGAAACAGTATCTGAAGAAATAAAGCAAAATTTCCCAAATATGATCAAGACTATAAACTCACAGATTCAAGAAGCTCAATAAAACCCAAGGAGAATAAACCTCAAAAGACCACCACCAAGGTACATCATAATCAAGTTGTTGAACACCAGCGTCAAAGAAAAAAATTCTTTAAAGAAGCCAGGCTTTTAAAGAGCACGTTATGTACAGTCCCAGCCTTGGGTACTGCTGCGCAGCTCTGAGGACTGCCACTGGCTGCTGCCAAAATGTCACCGGAGACTTCAGCAGACACAGAATCTAGTACATAAGGTCTTTCTTGCCTTTGGAGTGCTGTAGGTGGTACAGCTCCCCTCTTGATTCAGCATTTCTCCCAGGGGTTAGAGGTTTAAACTAGACTCTGACCATCTCATACCTAGAGACTTGAGTTCTATCCAGCAGTTTGCAGACTGTCAGCTGTGGACTCCAGTAGGTTTCTAATAATTATGTGAACAATTTTGTAGCCCTCAAGTGAGACCATCTGTGAACTGGTCATTAATTGGCCCAGTCCCCATAGATGATAGCTTTTTAGAGTTAATTTCCTATTTTTTTCATGCCATATGTTTATTTATAAATATACTATATTGAATTCAAGAGATTGATCAATTTTTCAAAGAGACTGAACCTCTTCAAATGCTCCTTTTCACATCTGTTTAATGGATTAATTAAAACACCCTTATTTCTTGACCGGTTGGTATCTTACTATAAAAAAAGGGTGCAGCAAATTCAGATCCAAAGTACAAAGTCACCATAATTAGTAACCACCATTCAGTTTTCCACTGAAAATGGCAAATTCTTCCCCGGGCCCTCCTTACAGAGTCTCCTAGAGACCACAGAGGTTGTGAACCTCCAGATGCTCTGTCCCAACACAGCGCTGTTGGAAGTTCTGTGAAAGGCACAGAGACCTAAGACAGTAGAAATGTTTGTTTCCTATTTTTATCCATATTCTACTTCCTAAATCTATCTTCTAAGTTATGCTTTCAATTAGGCATTGGTCAGGGGTGGATGACTCTTTTCACAGAAGACAACTAACCAGAGACACTTTCTTCAATGTCACAGACTGTCTACACGAGATGCTGCTTTGGAAATAGCTTTATCATCTGAGAGACTTGCTGTGTGTGTGAGACTTTCATCAATGCGCTATGTGGCTTACAGATGGGAATTCAAGTAAGAATGAAAACAGGCAAGGGGGCCCTAAGGGAGAAATACAGAGTTATTACCACTCTGGCACACCGTTACTGGAGGATTCTAAAATTCTGGTTTGTATGCTAGCATGTGACTTACATAGCAACAACAGTTCAGGTGCACCAGACATGGGCTCAGTTTAATAACTGTTCCCTTGACATCAATGAAATGACGTAATGTTGAAGACACACCCTGCAGGGTGCCCAGCTGTAAGAAGGAAGCAGCGGTCAGTGTCGGGCCATTAGCCCACTCTCAGCTCAGGGGCTCTGGGCCTGGTCTGACTCTGAAACCTTGGTGCTCCCTCCTTGCCTGATGCCCAGTCAGTCCCATGTAAGCCGCTGGCTCCTACATTAACCTAGGGATACCTTGCTTCTATCTGTGCATTCAGCAGGGATCTTGCCCACTGTAACAAACTGAATAAACTGTTTATAAACATGAAAAAAAAAAGCACATTATGTATAGATAAATAAAGGTAAGAATCCTAAGTGACTTCTGCTATAAGCTGGAGGGCAATGGAATGACATCTTTAAAACATAGAAAGAAAGGGAAAAAAGGTATCACCAGGAATTCTTTTACTCTACCAAAAATATCTTTCAAAAATGAAAGCAACAAACTTTCATTTTCCAGTCTGGCATGTAAGGAGTTTGGAAGCGGTTACTACTGTCCTTACAATAAAAAAGCTAAACAAATTGAAAAACAGTTCTTCTTAGATCCATCAGAGAACTGAAGTCAAAGGATAAAACATTGCCCAAACAATCAGAGGAACAGGCAAATACAGAAAATCACAGCTTACTGGAGCAGATGCCTGGGGCAGAAACCAGGGCAGGAAAAAGCAAAGTATAACGGAAGAATCTCTAGAGGTTAAAAGTGGACAAGTTCAAAAAAAATTTTTTTTTAAGATTTTATTTATTTATTTGACAGAGAGACACAGCCAGAGAGGGAACACAAGCGGGGGAGTGGGAGAGGGAGAGGCAGGCCTCCTTGAGGAGCAGGGAGCCCGATGCTGGGCTTGATCCCAGGACGCTGGGACCATGACAGACACGTAACCAGCAAAGAAATTGAAGTAGTAATCAAAAATCTCCCAATAAATTGAAGTCCTGGGCCAGATGGCTTCCCTGGGGAACCCTACCAGACATTTTTTAAAAAGATCTTATTCATTCATTCATTCATTTATGAGAGAGAGCAAGCGAGCATGAGGTGGTGGGGGGGGCAGAGGGAGAGGAAGAAGCAGTCTCCCCACTGAGCAGGGAGCCCGCTGGGGTACTCAATCCCAGGACTTTGGGACTATGACCCTGGCCAAAGGCAGACGCAACCAACTGAGCCATCCAGGCACCCCTCTACTAGACATTTAAACAAGAGTTAATACCCATTCTTCTCAAAGTGTTCCAAAAAATAGAAATGGAAAACTTCCAAACTCATTCTACAAAGCCGGTATTACCTTGATTCCAAAACCAAAAACCCCACTAAAAAGGAGAATTATAGGCCAATAACCCAGAAGAACATGGACATAAAAATTCTCAATAAAATACTAGCAAATTGAGTTCAACAGTACATTCAAAGAATTATCCACCACAATCAAGTGGGATTTACTCCCGGGCTGCAGGGGTGGTTCAATATTCACAAATCAATGTGATATACCATATTAATAAAAGAAAGCATAAGAACCATATGATCCTGTCAATAGAGGCATAAAAAGCATTTGAAAAATACAGCATCCTTTCCTGATAAAAACCCTCAACAAAGCAGGGGTAGATGGAACATACCTCAACATTTTAAAGGCCATATGCAAAAGACCACAGCTAATATCATCCTCAATGGGGAAAAACTGAGAGCCTTTCCCCTACAGTCAGGAACAGGACAAGGATATCCACTCTCATC